CACAACGGATTATAGGGATATAGCCAAACATCCTAGAAGCTCAAACTCCAGAAGTGACAATCAGGATACTTCAAGACCAAGGAGTAGGCCCCCGCCGAGGCGAGAACAGCAGCCTAGGCGAGACGAGGCCCCTTCCCATCACAGGGAAGTATCTCCTCGAAGGGGTGAACGTGAAAGGCATAGGAACCCAGATGAGCATCATCGAAGGAGCCATCGAAGAACTTGTGAATTCTTCTTAAGTTAAATACCGAACGAGTATTTGAATCGAGAACCGACAGATTCGGTTCGGTTTTCAGTTCTAGATTAAGAACTGAAAAACTGAATCTCCCTAATTTTTTATCTTAAATAAGTCAAATAATTTTATTTTTTAAATAAATTTGCTAACTAATTAATTTAGTCCAAGTCCGAAATATGATTTTACTATTTCTGATTTTAAGCCAAGCACAACTTAATTAAATTGACCTAAATTTTACCAAAATCTCTTATTCTATCATAGCGTCGCATTTGCCATTCTATTATTGTGAACTCATCATCTTTCTCTTTATGTGATTTAAACCATCAAATCTATGAAGAACTCAGTAAAGAGATGTGCAAAAGATATCACAAGAGTGGGCTACGTTATTTTGTAAGAGTTAAGATTGAATATAATCGAAATAATGTAGAGTTGTTATAATATTAAAAAATTTAATAATCGTACGGAACCCGAGAACCAAATAGAATCGAACCGAACTAAATCGAATGGAACCGAACCTGAACGGTTCCATAATTAAATTTGGACTCTACGATTCGACTTACTAAATACCCAAACATCCGGGTTCAGTTCAAAACCGAACCGGACCATGCACAGCCCTAATGTATAGGCAATAATTTGCCCCAATTAATTTGCTCATTTAAATTGTATTCGAGTGGAATAATGATAAAGAAAGTGGAAGGAAGAATAGAATTTACAAAAAAAAGGGAATTCATGCATATCTTCTTGTCTTTTCTTTTATTTATCTAGTCTATCACTCTTTTTATAAGGTCTTTATTTTCCGAATTTTTAGTCATTCATATCAAGCTCCAATTTCCTTCGTGCATACATGCCCCTCGGAAGCACACACTATATTAAGAGGTATAAATTTATTGGTAGCGTACTCAATCAAATGGGTATTTTCTACCCCGACACATTTACTGAGAAAACGGTATCAAGCCCCCATTGCGTATTGCTACTTATCGAGTAATTTTAGAGGTTTTCATGAATTTGTCCTTGTCGAGAGCCCATTATGGAAGCTCATGCGTTTGCTTTGAATCATTGCTATTTGATTCGGATTTGTTCTAAAAAATTCGAGATATTTCGAATTGTTTGTACACAAGAGAGCCCATTATGGAAGCTGAGGCTTCCTCATGCTTTCCATGTGTGCGCATGGCATTTCGTTTTCGTAATTGTAGGACATTTTGGGGGCCTTTGGGGATTTTTTGGAGCACAATTTTAGGTCATTTAAATAGCCCTTTTCTCACATTCATTGCCCCATTCTTCATTCACTCTTCAAATCACACTCATTTTGGAGGAAAAAAGGACAATAACTAGCACAAGGGGATAGAAAAAATAAGAAAGTGAGTGATTTTAGAGAAAAATCAAGACCAAGCCATTGCTACCTTCAAGATTCAACCAAAAGACATATTTTATCTTTAGTCTTGTATTTCAATCATTATTTTCTTCAATTTGCAAGTATTTCTATAAATCTGTTGATTTTTGTAATTTATACAAAATGAGCTAAGTTGTTTGTGTTAGGATTTGTGATGTAGCTTAACCTACCTTTATTAGTTTCAATATTCGCTCTTTAATCTTAAAGTACTTACTTTTATGTGTATTTATTATTGTATTTCACGTTATGCATTTATTTGGCTAATAAATGATTGTGTTGAGTGGTTTGTGCAATTTTTTAGAGAATGTTGTGTATTTTAGATCAAGTAGTAAATATCCTAGGTTCTTGTAAAAGATAATGATATACTCATAATCCTAGGTTACCCATTGAGCAATTTTCACAAAGAGTTAATGCATTTGTGTTGGGCTTTAATCGACATAAAGATATAGTAGATTAAAACAAATTGATTAGGCTAAGTTCATTCAAGAGAGGTAATTAGTTAAAATAGAAAAATCTGTTCTAACATATTTAATGAGTAATTTGTTAATTTGCGTGTGGAGTAATTAATTAGGTTACGATTAAATGAAATTATGAACCCCAACTACTTCCGTAAATATTAGATTTGTTCTTTTCGTAAAGTTTTTAGTTATTTTTACGACTTTTAAAATCTAAATCTTATTTTGTGCTACATTGTTAGAATTAAATTAACTATTGTGTAATTAAGTAAACATTTCTTGAATGATCGACTTGAACTCATAATACAATTTATTACTTGAATGCAACCCATACACTTGCGGTTTATAATTTTAGCGAACACTTCTCATAAGCACATATATGCTTGTAATGCTAGATGTTCGATCAAAATGCATTGCTACGCATTACGACTTATAGAACCTTGTGTGTGGTATTATATTAATTATGTAGATACTCTTTGTGTAAGGAGAATAGACACTAATATCTTGTTCTGAAAGGTGAACTCTACTACTAAATAGGCTCTCTAGTGTTTATAAGTTCACTTACAAGCCACTCCGAACATGCCCAAGATTAAGAAAGACGAAAAAAAAAACTAAAATTGTCCGATCCTGGACAAAATCATGTTAAACATATACGTTCATGTAGTATTTCTCGTGATGCTTCTCTAAGAACCTAAATAAATAATGTAGTTTTGTCATGATGCTTGTCTAAGAACCTAAATAATTGCCTCTGTGCAATGCATTCATTTTGTGGGCACGAGCCTGTGTCACACGTCCATGCCAAATTGTGTCATGTACCCTATACAAGATGCACTAGATAGTAGGGGGTGAATACGGTTCAGTTTGGACGGTTTGCAATAAATTTTCAAACCAAATCACTTAAAACAATTTGAAATATTTTCAAATCAAACCAAACAATTTCAATTTAAAACTCAAACAGTATAATTAAAAATATATTACAAACCAAAGTTCTATAATTCTAATCATTAAATGCAACAATATGATAAAAATATTTTAATCTCTTAATCGATACTAATTGAAGCAACACCTGCAATTGTAATACATTATTCATTCACTTCCTAAAGATTAGAATATTATACACGAATTCATTGATTATAGTTAAATGAGATAAAATAAATAATAAATGAAAATGAATAGAAAGATCAAATACAATAATATGTTCTGTAATTCATCCAATACCTCTACCTCATCCAAAAATTGACGAATTACTGTACATTCCTTATTACTATGCTACAATTTTAAGGAAAATCAACATATCAACCATATTTGTATTCAATGAACTCCTAAAAGAATTAAGAATAGGGAATGAAGACTCAAAAACAATTGTCGATATTTGAATAATTAACACGTCTTTAGTAATTTGGAGAAAATCTTGTATTTATTTGCATTGAATTTTATCTAATGTAATAAGTCAAAAGAGTCATTGATCAATTCTTCAAAATGACCATTTAAATAATTGACTAAATCAATCTAACAATTAACAGTTAAATCTAAAAACTAAGCTAGAATGTAAATAATTATTTGAGCGACCTGACTAAGAAATTAAGAAGCAAATAAAAAAAAATGTTGTCCGTTAAAAATTCAAGGGAGACCAGCACAAATTAGAACAAAAAAAACACAATTACCAATAAAATATAACAAACGATTACCAAATAATAAGAAAATTGAATAATCTAACCTGACAATTTAGCCAAAATTCGAGAAAATTATTAGTAGAAAGAAAAAAAAATGTGTGAGTTTGAATTAAAATATAGATTTAATTGTCTACTCAGTTGTAATGAACAATCAATGAATATGGTTCAACGACAAGTATTTAACACTTCACGCAATTTGAGGGTTTTTTGCATTCTCAGTTGTGATGACTATGGGTATTTGAGTATAAATTAATTAATTAACTGTGATGAATAATTGTCTATTTAGGTATTGGGTTTCATTGGATTATGTCTAATATGATTTTATCTTTTTAACTGAGATGCGTTTATTTTTAATTGGATTCGATTAAATTTACATTAATTTATTTCAATTTTTTTTTAACGGTTTGGTGGTTTGAAATAGTTTGCAGAGATTGAAACATAAACCAATCTACTTTAAAATAGTTTGGTTAGATTCAAAACCAAAACATTGACGGATCCACATAGATCCAAACCAACGGTTATGGTTTGACTATTTCATTATTCAACCCTACTAGATATTACATGTGTGCACCATTCACATTTCAATGCACAGATAGATAGCCACAAACTTGTTTGATAAGGAATACTTCACAGTATCCCCGTACATTCTAATCCTCTAGAGCACTAATCCTCTCTAGTACTGTACATATTGCTAGACATTGTAATCTATATCAGGGAAGTTTATGCATCTAAATTGAAGGGAATTTGCCCTGTCAACTTTTTTGCGTAAATAGATGTTCAAAACCAACAAACTAAACCACGCCGACTGGTTCAGAATCTCTACGAACGTTCTTGAATTCGTTCGAGATGTGAGTGAAACTCAAATTGGGAACACTCGTGAAAAATTCTAAAGAACTTGCACAAACAACGAGGGTGATCCCGAATTTAGATTATCTTGCTTTCATGTTAGTATCAATCAATCTTTCACTTAATCACAAGCGGTTGTGAAATTTGGTGTATGTGTGAGTGAATATAAATAACCATGACATAGTTTACATGCAGGATGAAAAATCGGAAGCTGTGAGGAAGCAAGACGATCAAATAAATAGAGAAGCAATTTAACACAAATTTTAACATCAGTAATAACTCAATACATAAAAATCTAATCTACACACACACACACACACACAAAATCATTCTGAACAGGAATTTGCTCTCTAGAAAGAGCTGCAGTTAACACTAACATGCGGGACAAGGATTCGTTGGAGTTACTCATCTTTGCCTGCTCCAATACACGACAGATTCTTCCCCGGCCTCTGTTATTGAATAAAATTTATATCACTTCGTAAGACTTAAAACAAATAAGTTCAATAATTTGGGTTAACAGAGATTATACCTCTTCGAGGAACAATAATGACTGGTGCGGTTTTACAATTGTGAAAGCAATATTCACAAACGCTGCCCTGTTGCACACTGAAATAGAGTCAAACAAAAATGTCAGTCGAGCATAAACAGGTGTGGGGGAGGGGAGGGGAGGGGTGGGGGGGTGAAAGAACAAAGGAGAGTGGCACCTTTACATCAAGCTTCGACCTCTGGTACCAAGAACAACAGCAGCAGGCTTCAACCTCTCTGCTTCCTTGCAAATTGCCTTCCCTGCATCTCCTTCCACGATCCTAGCCTTCGACTTCACCTATTTGTAATGTGATGAACTCTATATAAAATACCATTGAAGCTAGAAAATAGCAAATCCATAGAGTTCACGACCGGACTTCTGTTTTCCTCTCTTTTTGCAAAAGTCAAATGAGTTTTACAGAAGCAATAAAATTAATCCAGGTTCACAATATATGAAAGCAAGAATTAGTTTAAATTTTTCATAATAAAAAGATGAGCATAAGCAAGACCAGGGGTGTTCAAAAGTCCCGAATCGAACCGAACCGAGCGATTCTTCATAAGTTAAATACCCGAACGGGTACCCGAGTCGAGAACCGATGGGTTTGGGTCGGGTCTCGGGTCTAGATCAAGAACTGAATAACCGAATAAGAATCGAAACTAAATAATTTTTTTTATTTTTTATATTGAATTAACTAAATTATTTTATTTTTTTATAAACAAATTAGCAAATTAATTAAATAAATCAGATTATTTCATAATTTTAATTTTAAATCAAATAGTTGGTAAGTATTACCAATACTTAAAAATATTTTATTTTTATAACTTTTAATTTATATTTCATTTTCTTTATGCAGGCAAGCTGCTTGAAGCAAATGAATTTACTTTATGTAGTGTTGTTGTAATATTAATATCTACTTTTTGGTATTTGTATGCATTGAATTAATCTTATTGGACGGTTAGTTATTTATATGTTTTTGAATTGTGCTACGTTAATTTGTAAAAGTTACGAATGAAATGTCATTAGTTGTATTTATGTAGTATTGCTGTAAATATTAAAAAAATTAATTATGATACAGAACCGAACCGAACCCGAACGGTTCCATAATTATATTTGGACCCGACGGTTCCATTTATTAAATACCCAAAAGTTTTGGGTTGGTTCAGTTCTCTTCAGAACTGAACCGAACCGAACCGACCTACAGACAACCCTAAGCAAGACTATCTGAGTACATGAAGAGAACCGAACCGAACCGAACCGAACCAAACCAACCCACAAACAGCTCTAAGCAAGACTATCTGAGTACAATAACAATGTAGACACCGAAACAGACACACCTCTGCATAGAAGATAGATCATACTACCTGGAAACTGTAAAGAGGAAAAGAGATGGAAAGAAGACATACTAGGCCATTGAAGGAGATAGTATTGATCAATAAATTATTCAATCGTGCAAAAACTTTAAATTTATGTAAACGTTTGGCAAAAATCCCAAAACCATTTTTCGAACCGTGAAAATTGGTCTCAAGAAATATTCTTCACATTACAATGTGCTAGAAAAATAAAAAAAAGCTCCATACGTCACGAACTCTGTGTCCAATGATTGCATGTTTTCTCATATGCATACATTATGGTGTAATATTTTGTTAATTATTTCATCTCAATACATAATTTGCATTATTTTTAATCATAACTATAAAATGAATAAAGTGTCACTTTTGCATAGATGTAGAGAGGTAAATGCTCATAAGAGTGAAACGATTTCAGTGGAACAGTAGGTGTCGACAAAAGCTAACATGACTATTCCATATAACCGACTTCAAATTTTTTGACAAAAAGTGCCACAAGGAACCCCGTCTTTTATGACATTTCGAAAGTCATAATTGCAAACACAATGTTCATGTCACGTAAACTAACCAATATTATTTCTTGCCGCATCAAATATTCCATGAAAACACCACAAAAACAGAAAACTACCCAAACAAATTGAGATTACATTTAGAAAAAGAAATAGAAATTACCATAGCAACCTCAAGAGCCTCCACTGCAAGCTTCTCCATAGGAACCTGCATCGTATCGTAAACAATCTGGTTCTTCAAACCTAACACAAAAAATAAACAAATGCATAAAAATCAAGAAAATTTCACTAATGGTCCTCAACCTATTATTTGAGTAGAAAGTCATGTCCCTAATCTTTCCGTAGAGTTAATATATAGAGCAAAATGAAAATAAAATTGGGCTTAACTGGAAACGGCATGTACAAGGTGAACGGTATCTGCGAGGCGGCAGAGATGAGTTATTGCCCAATCAAAAGCGTGTTTGCTATTGGGTCCATGATCAACAGCGATTATTATGTCGCGTCCTCTCCTTCTCTCTCTCTCTCCGGTTTCTCTCTCCAGTTCCGGCTCCGGCACAACTGGTATTAGCGACGGGAGTATCACTTCTCTCCAGTTGTACTCTTCTTCCTCCATTAACGGATCCATTTCGTTGAGTTGATTCTCTGTTTTTTTTTTCCTCTCTCTATATCGGCTTTGAATTGATTTTAAAGTTAAAAACTGACAATGGAATTGAAGAAATTTGTGCGTTTTTTATGCAACAACGATATGAATCTCGTGCTCAGTGCTTTTTGGACTGTCCAGCCGCCATTGAATTTGCGTGCTGATATGGGATTACTTATTATTTTACCAACATAAAATAATTGGTTCTTTTTCATGACAAATTTTTCAAAATATTCCTTGACCAAAGTAATTAATGGAATAATAAGAATTTATAAATGTCATAAATATTTAATAATATTTATAAAAAATAGTTTTCTTCTCCCTCAATCTTCTTCGGTTCTTATTCGATTCTTCGATTCTGGGTCTAGAACCGATAACCGAACCAAACCTTTCAGTTCTCGATTCGGATACCCGTTCGGGTATTTCATTTTAAAAAACCCGCTCGGTTCGGTTCGGTTCCGGTTCGGTTCGGTTCGGATATTTTGCCCAGCCCTAGTACTAGTTATTCCCTTTTTTCTCATCTAGATATGCCTCAATACTCATCTTTTTTCCTTCCTCGATCCCTTAATTGTGTGGTCAAAAGCAGCTCAGGATTCTCAAGATCAATAAAAAATGAGGAATGGCATGATCTGGCATGAAAAATAAAGAAGAAGAAGCAATAAAATTGGAAGCATTTAATAAAAATTTTATTTTTTTTCTCTGAGTCGATTTTAGAACAAAATTCATCTTTTTAATTCAAATCTCTATTTGTGCAAGGCTGTTCGTCACATTTCCATAACCTTTTGAAATTTCAACTCTTCAAAACCATTTGACTAATTCCATTCCATATAAGAATAATTTTTTTCTTGGCTTTTCTCGAGTTAGTGTATAAAATATAAATAAATGAGCAATTCGATATGTTTTAAAATAAAATGCAGTAATTAATAAAAAGTTAAGTTGAGAATAATAATGCAATAAAACGTGAATATATTGAGTACATTTGGTGAAATTAAGAATTCATTATCTTTGCAAATTGATGTCAATTATGTTGCACCAAGAATACCTTAGGCAATAACTCAAAGTGAAGGAAAAAAAAACGTAAAACTTTACAGCCTACATAACCTTAGCTACGACAAAATTATTAAGAATAAATAATAGAAAGGGAAAGCCTACAAAATTAATTCTGGTGAGTCATCGTCTCCTTCCTACATAGAGGGAACCCTTTTGGCTACAGAAGAACCCCCCTCACTTGCAGTTCTCCTCACATTCAAAGATAGCATTTCCCTCTACTTCATTTTACTTCCCCCCTTTTCCCTTACCCTTTTCCTGATCCCTTTGCCGATCCTTTACCTTTCTGCTTTCCCTTTGTTTCTTTAACTCGCTTGCTCATTCCCTACTTCCTGGCATCCTTTTTCATTCGTCGATCAACAAGAACTTTGTGGAACCGTTGGGTTCAAATTTAATAATGGAATTGTTCGGGTTTGGCTCGATTCCATTCGGTTCTTGGGTTTCGTACAATAATTTTTTTTTTAATTTTTACAACCGCGCCACGCTACATTAATTCAACTAATGACATGGTCAATTTTAACTCTTACAATATAACGTAGTCCAATCCCGTGATATCTTTTGTGCCTCTATATTGAGTTCTTCATAGATTTGGCTGTTAAAATTACAGGAAGGGGAAGATAGCGAGCTCATAATAATATATGCTTCCAATTCAATTTCTCCATAACTGCAGAAAACGGCATTACTGTAAAATAAGGGATTTGGGGAAATTTAGTTTAATTTGATTAATTGAACTTAGGCTGGAAATTAGAAATAAGAAAAATCATATTTTGGGTTTGGGCTAAATTAATTACTAAGCAAATTTATTTAGAAAAAATAAAATAATTTGGCTTTTTTAAAATAAAGATATTCAGTTCTTATTCGATTTTTCGGTTCTTGGTATAGAACTGAGAATCGAATCGAACTCATCGATTTTCGATTTAAATACACATTCGGATATTTAACTTAAGATGAATAGCTCGATTCAATTTCATTCGGTTCAATTCGGATCCTCTTCTGTCGATTCATTTCGGAAGTTTTGCTTAGCCCTAGAAGCTTGTCAAAATAGTCTTATAATTTTGGAAGAAATGAGCCTCCTTACAAAGTGGGTTAGAATGACTAGATTTGATGTGCTTTTTGGACTTGACGTGTTTTTCATTGAAGTTATGCCCTTAAATTCATTTTCAACTACATATTTTTTCAATAAAATAATTTTGCATATGAAAACGACTTTTTTTTTTTGTTCTTTTACATTACTCTCTCGAGGTGTTTAGTTGAAAATGCAAATAAATAAATGTATGGCGTATTTGAGATTCTAGTTTAGAGCTTGCTTAGCAAAGATTTTTTTAAATAAGAAATATTCTCTTTTAAAGGATATGTGGTTAAAAAGTGGATAAAATTGTCGGTGTGTGGCAAACCACAAACTTACAGATACTCATTAACTCATAAAATCGATCCAAAACTATTCAAACAATGCTCTGTAGCGCAACCACTTTATATCTTTTAAATAAAAAATGTTGCCTTAAAGTCTTATTCAATTGTACGGAATCAATGTTCAAAAGGAATGAAAATGACTCCAAATGCATAATTGAAGATGTAGAAGACCACAAATGAATTGAGTCCAAATGCACAGCACTTGAGATTTCTCTAATATTTATTATTCCTCAGCATAGCTGGCATTGTTGGCCACTTACAAAATTAATTAAGAAAATTGTGATTTTCATCTTCAACCAAAGTAGTTCAAATTATTTATTTTTTATCTGCACAATTATGAACCAACAAGTCAGATGTGGTTAGTCGTTTCCGTCTACTTTCTACTTGGTGTTGTCAATTTTACAAGTAGCACGATATTATTGCAACTCATTATTTTGTGGAGTGGGCGCAATGTTTGAAATGCAACAGATGAATCATATGAGATGTCTTAGGGAATTACTCAACTAACCTTGTAATAAGCATATTATAAATATTTAAGGTTTTATTTATGAAAAATTTGTTAAATTGGTATAATAATCATTTGAATTAAAAAATTGATGTTTTAAGAATTAAATGGATGGAATATGGCAGAAATGACTAACTGTGCACTTAGACCTATTGGTTGTATAATCAAACTTGTACGTGGATGACATTGCAACTACCTCTATAGATTTGGGATGAATGGTGCAATTTTTCCAAAATTTAACAGAAGTTTGACCCATTTTTGTTGTTGGAGATCGATTGTGAACCGTGATGAAATAATTAAGCCTAATTTGTTTCTTTTCAAAAGTTGTAGCAAACTTCTACTGATACAACAAATTGGTGACTAGTGGTACAATTGTTCCTTCAAGAAATTAAATAAGGGTTTTTTTGCACATTTCATCCCAACCTTCAAGATCAGTAAATATTTAAGGTTTTATTTATGGAAAAAAAAATTGTTAAACTGGTATAATAATCATGTGAATTAAGAAATTATCTTTTAAGAACTAAATGGGTGGAATATGGCAGAAATGACTTCACCAATTTTATTAGCACTATACATCCTCATTATTTCAATTAATTAGCACTGTTACTGAAGTCATTTCCAGAGGTGTCCAAAAATTTCAATTTAGACATCGACGAGAGCACATATGGGAAATCACCACTTAAATTGTTATGACTCAAAACCACAATTTGCAACCAAGTCAATGGAGGAAACAGTTGAGAAAATGAATTCAGCAATAANACTATAGAAGGGTCTAGATGAAGCTGTATGTGCAGGCCATGTGAACTCATTTGCTGGACGTGAGCTGGAGAATAGAAGCATCTGGAAGAAGGCAATAGGCATGCTGAACGTGCTGGTGAAGAGGCTGCTGATGAAGCCAATGTTGCTGGTGAGCATGTGAGATTATTTCAACACAAATTATCTGGCAACGATCTTGACAGGAAATTATTCCCAATAACCATTCTCAGCAAGTTTTTCAACCCTCTAAAATATGGGGTCACCGAGCCAGATACCGAATTAAATCCGAGATCCAGGTCAATCAGGCTAGAAAGATCACCAAATTGGGTAGGTATTGAAGAAGAAAAACTGTTCCGTGAAAGATTCAAGAACTGAAGCCTAGACAAAGTCCCAATGCCCAGAGGAACAGGCGAACAACCCCAGGCAAGAAATTCAAAGACATGTCAAGTAAGGTTCCCCAGTGAGGAAAAGGACTCGGGAATTGAAACACTAAGAAAATTACGGGAAAGATGTAGCACGTAAAGGCTCGACAACTTACCTAAATGGAACTATCCCAGTAAGATTGTCGATCCATTACATTTAAAGTACTCTGTTTTGAATCAAAATAATTTGATTTTCAATACTCAAGGGTAATTATATTCATGTCACACTTTGTTGACTACATTATATTTTAATTGTAATGAGAATTCGTAATCTTTAATTATTTTTGCACTTATACCCTCAACTTTTTTCGTCACAATCGTATTATTAAAATTCATTTATTTAGCTTATTTTTATCTAATGTTGATTTCTGTTCAAATATTCTATTTGGAAATTTTGAAATGAGTGATTTTTTTTTTGTATTTATTGCTTTTTTTTTTTGGCTTCTATAAAAATATGGGGTCAATAAGTCTTTTTACACCTTCTAATAGAATTTTTGGACAAAAACTATTATCCAAGACAAGAGTGCTAATTAATAGGAGATTTCATACAAAAATGAGGTGAATAAATTGAGGACATAAGTACAAAAATGAATAAAAATGGACCATCATTACAATTAAAATGTCGTGTAACTAACAAAAATTATCCAATACTTATGGAGTTATTGTAAACTGTCAATGTGTACGCAGATTTCAATGTTATTATCGTATAACATATCTATTTATTATTTTCGTCGCTCGCTCTGTGTTGTCTCAAATTCAATGAAATACTAAATTTGTCCTTCTTTATTTGAGGTAAAATCCAATTCTAGGATTATATATATCTGTCCAAGGACAATCGGTGCGGC